AACGATGTCCCCAGCGAGGCGCCGAGAAGCCAACGACATGGAACTACAAACAGGAAAGCCACAGCGCTTTGCGACCACTGGGTCATCTAACTTCGCGCATCGCGCCCCGCGATTGTCTTCGCGCCCCCGCGCCGTCGCGCACCCCCCCCCCCACGGAGAGGGGCAGCCGATCTGGCCAAGACCGCCACGCGCGACCCGCGACTGTCTATGCGCCCCCGCGGGTGACCCAGGTCCAGGGCTCGTCGGCGAGCGGCCCAAGGCGACCAGGGAGGGCCCGAAGACTACCCGAGACATCCGCAGGCGGCCCCAAGAGAACTCCAAGCTGGCCCCACGAGCCGCCCAGCCGCCCCCAAGACGATTCAACTGGGCCGCTCCGGAGGGGCTCGGCAGACGAATCGGGCCCAGTGTTGCTCCGAGACGACCCAGCGGGGCCCCCAAGGGCCCCCAACAGGCTCGCGGGAGGCTTCCGATAGAGCCCGAGCTGCCCCAAAGGTGCCCCAAGAGAGCCCCCAGGAATCCTGCAGGATGCCTGCAAAGAGGAGGAAGGAAGAATGAGGAGGGGGGAGGAGAAGGGGGAGAAACGAGGGAGGAGAACAAGGCTGCACGCAAGGAGTGGGTGTTAAAGACCCACGCCAGTTCAGGCAGGGCACTGAACTGGAGCAGACTCTATAAGCTTCCTGCTACGTTGCTGCGCTGGCACGGGGGCGGGAGTTGCCACAGGCAGCTGGAGATAGAGCAGAATTGGTGTACGGGGCACCTGTGGACGCCTGTGGCGGTGCCAACTGGGCCTCAGATGTCCGAAGCGATACAGCGGCTACGCCTGGCAGGTCAGAAATGCCCCACGGTGCCGCAGCAAACGTCACCGAATAAACGACCATCCCCCTAGCCAACGCCACCCCAACCGCCAGGCCGAACAGAATGCAACTACAAATCCGACATGTGGCACCCAACTCTGAGAGAGACACACCGTGCTCATTTAGGTCTGAACTCGACGTCGGACCAACATGGCTTGGGGTACTAATCTGTGAGATGAACCTTGAACAAAAAACGGCTACGGATTGGGCGTCCAGCGGCGCCTCTCCCCAAGAGGCTTTGTCAAAGGGATCCTCAATATTTGTGCAAGTGGGCTGGTGGCCATACCAGGAACGGCCCGGTTCCTGGCCCCCCGATGATCGCTTGCGGCGCACGGCCTTAGATAACTTGCGTACGGGGTCGCGTGGGGCGTCATTTTCCTGGGTCCCCTGGGGCTCGCTTGGGGCGCTCGTCCTCCTGGTTTTTAGTTGCACTGCACTGCTTTGCATACTTCTGCATTTCACTGTATTGCATCGCGTTCTTCTGCGCTGCCTTGCCTTTACCTTGCATCGCTCTGCTTTGAGTTTCTTTTGCCTTGCCTTTGCTTTCTGCTGCAGTGCATTGCTGTGCACATCTTTGGCATTGCATTGATTTGCACTATGTTGGCTTCCTCTGCCTTCTGATGCACTGCTTTACATTGCGTTGCAGTGCATTGCTTGGCTTTGCCTCTGTTTTCCAGCGTATTGAGTGGCATTGCATTGCTGCGCATCGCTTTGCTTTGCGTCGTCTTGCATTATGTTGGTGCGAATGTTAATCGTGTGTACTGGTTTACTTTACTTTGCGTTGCGCTGCATGTCGCTGCTTTGCATTGCTTTGCATTGCGCCACCACTTGATGACCCATGGACAAGCATATCCCGTGGTCCTTCAGAACAGGCTGATCCGCGAAGACTCGCTGAAACCCGCTGGCCCATGAAATAAACAGAAGAGGCTCGACAGAAAGGTTTGCACATTATTCCCCGTATTGCACGGACTCAGTGTGCAACGAACGTGGGTGCGATCCAATCGGCCAAGACACGATCCTCGGTCAAACGGCGAGAGCCGCGCGCCCTTTGTGCACGCTCGTGCCAGCACACTGTGCTACATTCTGGCTCAACGTCGTGAAGCACTCCCGCTGGCAGGGGAATGCTCTCGCGCGCATCTTGGAACCGATCGCAGCTCAAACTATCGCATGGGCGACGCTCCCCTGAACAAACGCAGCGTCTCTGACAGCCCACGGCCGTTCGGCCGCACGGCGGCAACCAAAAGATCAAGATCGTGTCTTTGGCCGCCCGCGACAATTCGGCCGCACGGCGGCCGCCAGGACGCCAAGAACATGCCACAGGCACCACTGGCTGAGCTGGGCACCCTAGAGAAGACGAGAACACCACTGCCTAGATGGAGAAACTGCCACATGATCGACCCACGAAACCAGAAAAGGATGCGCAGCATGGCATCGTGTCCAAGACGTCAAACTTGGGCGACGGATAATTACAATACTCAGGATAATGATCGTGCTGTACCGTGCCACGGACGGTGCTGTACTGCGCCGTGCTGTGCCATGCTGTGTTGAATTCAACGTGTCACGCCGCGTTGAACCGTGACGCGCCCTATTGCATTGTGGATCAAGCAGTCCTTGGCGTCCGAAGCGTGGCCGAACTGGTTTGGATCTTAAGCTCAAATTGCCTGAACACATAGTTCGGGCTATGTCTAGTCGAGACGCGCAGGGTGCTCGACCAGCTCGAGCTCAAGATCCGATTCAGTTCCGAAGCCATTGCCCGAGACATTCAGTTGCACAACGGAGCGAACCGAGCGCGACCACGACAGGCGGAGGAGAAGCATGTGTGGCTTTCAACCAGCTCGAACTCAAGATCCGATTCAGTTCCTGAGTGGGACGAACCGATCAAGGGGCGAATCCGATCCGAAACGAAAAGCACCGAGACGACGACAAGGCCCCCGCCCGATACCTCCTCAAACAATGGAAAAACCAGCGTTTCGCGAGAGACACTCTCAACACATCCTGCAGAAGGAGCCTTTCGCTGCAGGCGAGGACCTCGCTCGAGACATCCTCAACAGATCCTGCAGAGCGAGCGTTTCGCCCTAGACATCCTCAACACATACTCATGTCAGTGATCCGCCTGGGCGGTCTTTGCACGTAAAGACCCGCGCTTCGCTCTAAACACCCTGAATAAATCCTCAAGTTCAAGATCCACCTGGGAAACGTGGATCGTGAAAACACGTGTCCCTTACGCGACAGAGCGGAACAAACGTGAAATCCAGTGGGTCCTTTTCGCCCCAGAGCGGAGCAAGCACGCCGAATGGGACTTTGCATCGTTATTGATCGAAAAAAAATCCGCCGGTCCACCCCCAACATTGCACAGGAACCGATTATCAGCATAAAACGGGAACCTCCGCTCTCAAGCACCAAGCAATTCAACTGATGGCACCCGATTCTCCAATAGCAGGGTCCCAAGGCCCTCCACTCGCCTTGGCACCCGACTGCCGCTTCGCAAGGTTCACTGGCCTCCCGTCATGACGCGCACCTGCAGGCTGGCATGAAGGCGAATTGTCGGCCATCCCGGCAATTGCAGAGTTACCCGGCCCTGGGACTCGCTAAGATGGTGTACTCGCTGGGGTTTTTGGGCCGAAGCTCGGCAGGCGCGTCAGGGAGCAACCCTGGCAACGAGAAGAGGATTGGCGCAAGGCCAGCGGCAAGAAGAAACCCTGCCAACCATCCGGATCGGGCCCAGCCAGGCTGCACTTTCTCCTTTGCCGAGATCTGGTGTCGCGAAAAAAGCACTACGTTGTCGAAGATACCGTGGCTCTGGGGCTCTCTGCGGCACCTGGGTCCCAATGCCCCGAGCGGGGCGAAAATGCTGGTCGTGGCCTTTACGCGACGCTCGTATCGGTTCGCGCCGCGCTTCGGGGTGTCCAGCGGCGGCAGCCGCGACGACGACGACGACGACGACGACGACGACGACGACGACGACGACTATGATGGTGGGCTCGACGGCGCGCGCGCCATGGCTCGGTGCTGCATCACAGACTGGAACGTCCGCCTCGCGAAGTCCAACTTGCCCCGTTGCGCGAAGACCATGCCGATCCTATCGCCGGCTGCCGCCGCCGCCGCCTCATCACCCTTTGCTCTGGACAACACGCATAACCTGCATGCGTCATACCGTTCGTGTTGGCGTCGCCCTTGTCACTATTCTCCATCACCTTTCCTCTACCACATCCCGCCTCCCTTGTACCACTTCCCCTCGTCCTCCTCCCACCTGCCCCCTCCTCCATTCCTCCATTCCTCCATTCTTTCGACTTCCTCATGAATAACTGCTCCCGGTCGCATCCCGAGGCCCGTCGGCAGGGCAGGCGGGGCGTTTCGTCTGAGACTCCCTCACAATTTATGATCCTGAAGCTTTTTAAAATTGCACGAAGTTCACGGATTGAGGACCAATGGTTCTCAAAAAATGGCTCTCGCCTTCGCGCCGCGCGCACAGGCGTATCAAACAGTTGCAAGAGTGCGGGTCGTTCTCTAAATGTGGTTATCGCCTTAGCGCTACTCGCATTCGCTTAACACAATTGTAAGAATTCAATGGGTGGAGGGCGGTTCTGTTTCGAAATGTGGCTCTCGCCTCAGCGCCGCGCACATTCGTCTCACAAAACTGCAAGAGCTTCTCGGATTGAAGGCGGCTCCTTTTCAAGATGTGGCTCTCGCTTTAGCTCCGCGCATATTCGTCTTAAGCATTTGCAAGAGTTTCACGAATTTCGATGGTGAACGTACCAGAAAGGGTGTCTTGAAATGGCTCAGGATTGCCATGGCGCAACAGTTACGTGTATTCGCGGTGTTGAAGTCCCAGGAATGGCGTTCTGGCATGATTCAGGATCGCCAAGATGCAACACTCAGGTTGATTCATGGCGTTGGAGTCCAGAGAAGTGTTTTGGCACGCTTCAGGATCTTCCAACGGTGGTCTCCCAACGGGGCATTTTCCCATTGGAAATGAACCCTTGTAGGGGCCTATGAAGAGGGAGCTTGGAGGGAGGGTTTATTCCAACACCGTTGATGAGTCTTGGGTTGACTCTGGTCCTCCTCCTCCTCCTCCTCCTCCTCCGTAGCCGTTCTGTCTCAAGGCTCAAGGCCGCGTTCCCCCGGTTTCTCGGCAGCCCTTCGCCCATGGCTGGTGGCTCTTCGCTGGCGGCCCGGAGGCGGCGCCTGAGGGAGGTCCAGAACGGCATGGCTGCGGGACGCGCCTCGGCAAGGCCGCCCTGGGGAGGGCTTTTGCGAGGCGCCGCGGCAGCGCGGGCTGCCGCTGACAAGCTGGCCAAGCGCCTCTCGAATGAGCTCGAGGAGGCGCGGAAAGAGTGCCAGTGCCTGCAGGGCGCCTTTGCGTCGGCCATCGCAAACGGCGACATCGGCGACAAGGTCCTGGCGCTTGTTCCCGCGCTGGCCGCAGGCCTTCGGGTTTGCGCCGCCTGCAGAGGAACGCGGCGCTCCATTCGGTGGCCGAGGGCATCGACAGCATCGCTACGGCTGGTGGGCCGTCCTCGAGGCGTGCTGCCAGAGAGGCAAGGCTGGACAACCAGGCAGCGTCCAGGGCGCCTCCCGTGGAGTGCATCGTCGAGGTGTGCTACGCCGAGGCGCCTGTGAAGGCATGCAGCCTGGATGTCAAGCGGCCCGCTGCTGGGCCGACGGTCTGTAACCTGGCCGCCCCCGAGTGCGTGCCTCGTGCTCTCGCCAACGGCGTCGTGTGGCGGTCCGCCGACGAGCAGGCCGACGTGCTGCTGGAGGTGCTTGCTGCTGCTGATCCCTTGTGTGGGGCCCGCCCCCCCCCCCCGACACGGCGTATGCTGAGGGTGGGGGCGTGCCTGCTGGCCTGCCGCCTGCCGCGCAGCTGGTGCAGCAAGAGCCGCCGCCCGCTCCGCCTGCCGCGGGGCCGAGTGGAGTCGTGCCCGCGTGCTTCAAGGGCAAGGTGGAGACAGAGCCTTCTCATGGAGACGGTGCCCATGAGATTTCGGCTGATGACAATCCAACAATCCAGGTGCTCTTCGACGCCTGGACGTGCGGTGGATCGCATCAAGCCGCCGGTTGGGTCTTCGCCTGGCAGCTGCATTTGCCATGGGACATATCGACGCCAATCGCAGCGCCTTTCTCGCCGTTGCACTTAACGGAGCAGCCCGCGGCGGCCAGGGGGTCAAGGCAAGGAGCTCCACGCTCGCGCCCCGTGTCTGCATCCTCGCAATCCCACCAACACTTTTTGGCGTAGGTGGTCTAGGATGTTTTGTCTTCCATCTGCCCCTCTTCCACTTCGGGGAAGGGTTCATCACTCTTCCTTATCGATATACACCCCCTCCCCCATCCGGCCAGCGGCCAACCCGGAATCATGCCGACCCCATGGGGGCCCGCCCCCCACCATCCCTGACAAAAAAAATACAAACCACACTCTGCCTCCACATTTGGAGCATGCGCAGCCAACCCAATGCGACCCCCCCACCATCCCTGTCAAAAAACAGTGCAAAGTACACTTTGAGGCAAAGTCTTGAGTCATTTTCGTGAGGCCCGCGAGCACTTTGTATTGTTCTTGACAGGGACGGCGGGGGTGTCAACGTATTCCCTGCTGCACGCAGGGCTACCACCCCTGACAAAAAAACATACAACATGCACCTCGCGGCTAAATCTGGATCGTGCGCAGCCATCCTGCGATCACTGTCATGTGGTTTTTGATGGGGACGGCGGGGGTGGTGGCGCGTGGCCTGCTGTCCGCACACCCACCAAACACAATGATGGGCATTGGTTTTCGACAAGGATGGCGGGGGCCGACATGTTTCCCGATGTGAGCTGACACGTGCGCAGGCGCACCTGACGCACTTTGCACGTGCCCCTAACGTCGCGCACCTGGCGCGGCTGGAGTGTGCGGCACACCTGGCGCACTCGGAGCACGTGGCGCATCTGGCGCACCAGGCGTGCCTGGCGCGCTCGGGCCCCAGGGGCGCCTGGCGCGCGTGGCGCCCCTGGCACGCGTGGCGCACCTGGTCCAAGCGTCGCGCACCTGGGGTCGGCTTTGGTTCCCAGTAGCTGTCCATCCAAAGACGACCGCTGACCATACTCAGGCTCGGGTGTTACTTACGCGTTGGGGGGGCGGGGGGGCGGGTGGGAGTGAGCTAGACGGCTTGCGGCGGGTGGGTAGCTTGACCCCTCCCTCTACCCCCTCTCCTGGACCTGGACGGGACTGTCCGCGAGGTGTCAGAGCGTCCAAAACAGCCTCGGCGAGGAAGCCAAAATCATTGGTTCTACTAAGGTTTTGGATTAATTTTGGCCTCTTGGGTGAGCCCCGCTAATTTAAGCTTCCCTCTTCTTTGATCGATGTCCTCCGAGATGGCCCAAAGATGGTCCCCAAGGACCCCAAGGGCGCTCCAAGAGAGCCCCAAGAGGTGCCCCAAGAGGCCCACTAGGGGCCCCCAGGATGCCCCCAGTATGCTCAGAAGAGCCCCCCAAGAGGCCCCAAGATGCCCCCCAGAGGGACCCAAGACGCCCCAAGAGGCCTCGGCGAGAATGCCAAATTCCTTGATTTTACTAAGGTTTTGGCCACATGTTGGCCTCCTGGTGGAGGGCACTGAGTAAGATGGCTCCAAGAGCGCCTGGGAGAGCCTAAGATGACCTCCAAGATGGTTCAAGATATCCCAAGATGCCTCAAGATGGCTCCCAAGATGCTCCAAGAGGCCCCAAGACAGCTCCAAGTGACCAAAGAGCTCCCCAAGGAGGCCCCGAAGAGGACAACATCCTTCCAACACCTTGGGCAACTCAATGTTCTCTGCGTTTTCACCTTTTCGCTTCCGGTGGCCATCCGAGGCCTCAAGATGGCTCCAAGATGGGCCACGAGGGTCCAAGAGAGACTCAAGAGACCCCCAAGACGGCCCCAAGAGCGCCTAAGAGCGCTCCAAGAGCGCCCCAAGAGGCGACTTTGGGGGCTGCCGAGGGGCAACGCTAATAAATGCTCCCCTCTTGTTTGATCGATGCTCTCTAAGATGGCCCCAAGACCGCTCCCAAGTCTCAAAAGAGCGCCTCAAGCGGGCCCCAAGAGGCGCCCAGGAGGCCCCAAGATGCGCCCAAGAGGCCTTCAAGAGGCTCCCAAGAGACCCCGAGAGGCCCAAGAGAGCCCCAACACGGCCCCAAGAGCGCCCAAGAGTGTCCCAAGAGCGCTCCAAGAGGGACCCTTCATCTGCGTGCTGCCCACTTCCCTGATCGAGGCAAATCCTCTGGGCATCGTCTCTGGATGGGCTGGTGGGGTTGCGCGAAGCGTCTAAAATTCAGAAATTTGGCACGCAAGGAACTGCCAGCGCAGACATCCCAGCGAACATCGCATTCATGAGAGCGGCGCTAGTTCTGGCGGAAGGAACCGCCCGAGCGCTTCCTCTCCAAAAGCTCGCGCGCGGCTTCTGTCCGAGGAATCTGACGTGTTTCAGACGCAGAACGAAATCCCACGTTTAATTATCCCCCTCGCCGCGCGACGTCGGGATCAGATCGGGAATCTCCCGGGCGCTGCGAAGGCTGACATCCCATTCCTCGCGGGGGCGAAGGAATGCCGAAACGGCGCGCTGTTTCTTCGTCGCGCCACGAAGACCCGGAAAACGAATGGTCGCGCTCACATCGAATCTGCCGGGGCGGTCCGCGCGGAGTGGGAGGACTCTATCCAGGTGAATTCTCGCATCCACAATTCGTTCCTCGACGGCGCACGCTGGCGCCCGCCGCGGCGCGGGCGCCCATGCGCCAGACGACATCGAAAACTGGGCACGGAATGCTGGCCGAAGAACTGGACACGGACAACTGGCAATTCCGCTTGCCGAAGAATGGCGGGCGAGGTGCGATGGGACTCGTCGGGGCGATGTGGCTGCGCGCAACTCACACAATCAGACATATGTCATGCGTGGAGAAGCACACAGAATGGGCGCCAAGGAGCAGGAGCAGGCGCGGCCAGTTCGGGAACCCAGCTGCGATGAGACGACAACCTCAGCGAAGCGTAACCCGACACAAACGCAACATTGCGAACGCGCATGCACGACAACCGCACGCACGCACGCACAACCAACACTCACACGGAACTTGACTGCACGCGTGACTTCCACGCGACTGCTTCTCGCTGGGGCGCACACGCGCCGAGGAGAGAAGCCGGGGCCCGCAGCAATCCACTCGCAGTGGCGTAGAACGCACGGCCAGCGGCTTAGCAAGGATCACCCGCAGAGAGACGGCTGCCCCACGCAAATATACAGCACCACCGCGCAGCAATAGAAATGTAAAAGATCGCCCTGACAGGGGCCGCCGCTGCGTGACCGCGCCAGACGGAGAGTGCTTGTCAGGTGGCCGTGCGCGCGGATGGCGGCCGCATGTTGTCGAGAATAGGTGCTTCCAGACCCTCTGTTTCCACCCTGGGGCGGTCGTGAAAACGAGAGGCCCCTCTGCAAATTCCATACGCCAGCTCCGAAATATACACCATGTTAATGTGTTGTTTTCTGCCCATCGAACCGCGCGCCCGAATGACGATGTACCGACGACATGCTATCATCGGGTGATTTGACACACCTCGACCTCGAACGAAAATAACCCAATTAACCCCCGTGGCGAAAAACAATCCATGGTTGTGGTGTGCATCAGTGGGCCCCTGAGTCAGACATGCGCGCGCGATGTGCACGCGGACGACCACGAACACGAAACACAGCAACACAGAAAGCATGCGCGCGAGGATTGAAAACGAGGGGGAGAGCACAGCAACCCAACAATGGAAGGACGGGCAGAGGACGAGATACAAACACAATACTACAACAACGTGCGCAGAACAATTATTGTCGGAGGTTGGGGGGTGAGATCGCAGTGAAACGGAGACCCCCCACCGGGAAATCGGTTTCGGTTTTGTGTTCGTGTCGTGCGTGCGGGTGAGGCGAAGCTGCGCGTGATTCTCCTGTAGCTAGGCCGAAGTAAGAGCGAAAATCCGTTCCCGTCCGCCGGTGGCTGGGAAGTGTCCCAGTTGGGCCAGGCGGTGTCCCGGGTGTCCCGGGTGTCAATAGGAGCGAAAGTCCGTTTCCCGTCCGCCGGAGGCCGGGAGGTGTCCCAATTAGGCCGGGCGGTGTCCCGGGTGTCCCTGGTGTCCCGGGCGTCCCGGCGCTAACGCATGTCGCTAATTTCATAATTCATTTTTTTCGGCGCCTGCGCCGGGCTTTCTTATCCAATCCAGGTTATCTTATCCAATCCATCTTGTCCAATCCAATCCATCTTGTCTTATCCAACCCATCTTGTCCCATCTCATCTTATCCCACCCAATCCAATCCACCCAACCCAATCGATCAATTCATTTGTTTCTGCGCCTGCGGCGGGCCAATCCAATCCATCTTATCTTATCCAACCCGTTTCTTCCAGTCCAACCCATCTTATCTTATCCAATCCATCTTATCCCAGCCAATCCAATCCACCCAACCCAGCCCAAGAGAGAGATGAGATCAAGGTGACAGGCTGGAGGTCAGTCAGGGTGGGCATTTGATCTCAATCCCCACCCCAACCTCCTTATCGCCCGCAGGGCGGTCGTATAGGTATTACTCTACATGTGGAACGTATCAGTGCGTCAATTTCTCTTGGGCAGCTCCAAACGCAACCTGTGAGCATGACAAATATGAGTCCTTGGAGCAAGCCCTGTCGACGGCAATGCGGAAAGCATCCCAGGAATACTCGGGGCATATGAATATACTTAAACATGAGGCTCGCTATATGTGGGGAACGAGATCATATGTTTAAGCACTGGCCAGCGCATTGAACTATCAACCCTTGCACGAAACCCCAGTTCCCCAGCAAAGGCCTGTTGCTGCGCCACGACCGGAGGCGGGGGAACGGAGCGCACACCGCAACAGCATGCAACATGTTGCCGTTCGTTCTCTGCGGAGGCAAAAGTAGACGTGGAAAACGCGCCACGCCGAAGCAGCCTCGCCGCCGACGTCCTGGCGGCTCTGCGGACTGGCGCGAAGCTACGAGTGCACTTCGCACCAGCGCTCTGCGAAGCCATGCGCGCGCTTCACGGCCAGCGCGCCTCGCGACTCCTGCCGCCGCGGGGGCGCCCACGACCGCCGCCTCCTGGGAGCGTCAGCGCAGTCTATTGCGCGCCCCCTTCTCGCTGATCAGCAGGAACACCACGGCCACGACGTACGAACCCAACGCGAACCGCCTCCTCTGCATCATCATCCCTCTCTCTCTCTCTTTCTCTCCCTCCCTTTGCCCCTCGCTCTCTCTTCGGCGCGCCCTCCCCAAGAGAGATGCGCGTCGTCCCGCCGTGCGGCGCCCCAGAAGAAGCATCGCAGCGCGGAGACTCGTGGGCCTCTGCATGATGGCCCCTCTGGAGACTCTGACGCGTCAACCCCTCGAGGAAAGATAGCTTGAAATTCAGAGGATGACTACGTCAGGGTCCTCCGCGTGCACCTCCACGGACAAGAAATCTATGCCGGGCCGACCGCAGGGACGAGCAACTTTTCTGTCGACGCGTATCGAGACCTCACCGTGTTCAGAGGCAGACGTCAGACGCACGCGAGGACGAACAAAAACAGCCTCGCGCGATTAGCGGCCCAAGCTCGCACACGTCAAGATATCCGTGCCGCACTCCTACCTCTTGAACAAACGCACGGCGTACAGCACACCGGCGGGGACCGTCTTCCTTCCTTCGGCGAACCGTGCGCCCGCCACGGGGACAGCTTCACGCCGTAGCCGACGGCATACCCTGCGCGCCAAAAGCCAAGCTCGAATTACCACACGTACGAGGCCAAAAGCCCGCGTCACAACGAGGCTGGAGTAGGGACCAAGGGAACACGTACCTACACGAACCATCCTTCCTGCGAGAATGGGAAAGGCGATGCGAAGTACAACTGGAAGCGGTGGGCAATATTTGATAAGCCAATACGTAAAAACCAGTGCCTATTGGCTGCCGCCCTGGGACTCAATTTGTTCATGACGTCCACGACGGAACAACACTGGCACCCGAACAACAAGGAAAACTCGCACGAGCACCGCCCACCCCCTTGGCACGAAAGAAGAAACGCAACACTAAGTACATGGCGACGCGGTACGCCCAAGACAGGCCTGGACCAACCGGTGCCAACTGGCCGCCAGCCTGGGACGGAACATGTTGAAAACGCAGTGGGAAATGAAACCCATGACGTCGGTCATGAACTTAGCACCAGCCTCCAACATCAAAGCTGCAAAATCTAGCTGATGCAGCAGGAAGTGGCATCGCGGCCAATACATTAAGTTTTTATAGGTCGCGCAGACCAGCGTGAGCCCCCCCGGAGAGGGAAGGAAACCCAAGGGCAATGGCTTGAACGAATGACTCGAGCCAAAATGGCATGAGCTAAAGGGCTACGGACACATGCGGCCCTCTCCTGCTCCTCCGCCTCCTCCTCCTCCTCCTCTTCCTCAGCCTCCGCCTCTGCCTCATCCTGCTGCAGCTGCTCCTGCTGCTGCTGCTCCTCCTCCTCCTCTTCGTCCTCCTCCTCCTCTTCCTCCTCCTCCTCTTCCTCCTCCTCCCCCCCTACAGCCTTTGCCACCTCTTCCTCTGTCTCCCTCTTTGGAGACGTCTGAAGGTCACACCTCCCCCTCCTCACCTTGGACACCTCACTTCGCGCGTAGCACTGCGCGAAATGCGGTTCTCTTCGCACTCTCGCGCAGACCCCTGGAGAAGGATAATGACGCGGCCTAGACATCTCTTCTTCATGATGGCACGCGCGCCATAACCGCGGTCAGAGAGACACCGAGCGAGGGCAGAATGAGAGAAGAGCAAGGTCCCGTTGGCGGCGAAGTGAGAGTCTTTCTCGTGCCCCAGCGCCTGGATGAAATTGCGAAGGGCCTTGCACAAGTACTGGTCCCTGTCCTTCGACTTCGTCTTCGACGCAGTCGCAACCTCTGGCGCCAATCATGCAGCATGTTGCGATTCAGCGCGAGGGTGGTGGTAGCATCCGATGTTGTAGAATGTGGAAGCATGATCATGATAGCAAGAAGAAGTAGTAGATCTCGCACTTGCGCGAACGCGTACACTTAAGAAAAAGACTGCACTGGAAGAAGTCGTAGAGCCGATCCAGTAGCAACAGCAGCAGCAGCAGCAGTAGTACTGGTCGTGGTCGTAGTTCTGCCAGTTGCAGTAGTAGCAGTCGTAGTAGCAACAGACATAAAAGTAAAAAGAGTACTAATAGTAATGCGTCGTAGTCGTAGTCGTGGTCGTAGTAGCAGTAGTAGTAGTAGTCGTCGTCGTCGTCGTCGTCGTCGTCGTCGTCGTCGTCGTCGTCGTTGTCGTAGTAGTAGTAGTAGTAGTCGTAGTAGTCGTAGTAGTAGTAGTAGTAGTAGTAGTAGTAGTAGTAGTAGTAGTAGTAGTAGTAGTAGTAGTAGTAGTAGTAGTAGTAGTAGTAGTAGTAGTAGTAGTAGTAGTAGTAGTAGTAGTAGTAGTAGTAGTAGTAGTAGTAGTAGTAGTAGTAGTAGTAGTAGTAGTAGTAGTAGTAGTAGTAGTAGTAGTAGTAGTAGTAGTAGTAGTAGTAGTAGTAGTAGTAGTAGTAGCAGTAGCAGCAGCAGCCGCAGCAGCAGCAGCAGCAGCAGTAGTAGTAGTAGTAGTAGTAGAAGTAGTAGTAGTAGTAGTCGTAGTCGTAGTCGTAGTCGTAGTAGTGGTAGTAGTAGTAGTAGTAATAATACTGACATTGGTAATCGTAGAAGTAGTAGCAATAATAATAGTAGTAGTAGTCGTCGTCGCAGGATTAGCCGTAGTAGTAGTAGTAGTAGTCGTAGTAGTAGTAGTAGTAGTAGTAGTAGTAGTAGAGGTAGTAGTAATATGAGTCGTAGTAGTAGTAGTAGTAATAGTAGTAGTAGTAGTAGTAGTAGTAGTAGCCGTAGTCGTGGTAGAAGTCGTAGTAGTAATAGTAGCAGTCGTGGTAGAACTAGCAATACTAGTAGTAGTCGTAGTAGTAGCAGTAATAATCGTAGTAGTCGTAGTGGTCGTAGTAGAAAATAATAGTAGTAGTAGCAGTAGCAGCAGTAGTCGTAGTAGTCATAGGAGCAGTACTAGTTGTAGTCGCAATAGTAGTCGCCTTCGTCGTAACCACGTCGCAGCAGTAGCAACAGTAGTAACAATCGCAGTAGTGGCAGTAGCAATAATCGTAGTAGTAGTAGTAGTAGTAGTAGTAGCAGCAGTAGTAGTAGTAGTAGTAGTAGTAGTAGTAGTAGTAGTAGCAGTAGTAGTCGTAGTAGTAGTAGTAGTAGTAGTAGTAGTCGTAGTCGTAGTAGTAGTAGTAGTAGTAGTAGTAGTAGTACTCTCCGTGGTCGAAATAGTAGTAGTAGTAGTAGTAGTAGTAGTAGCAGTAGTAGTAGTAGTAGCAGCAGTAGTAGCCGTAGTAGTAGGAGGGGCCGACTTATTATTATCAATAGTCGCAGTCGTAGTAGTAGTAGTAGTAGTAGTAGTAGTAGTAGTAGTAGTAGTAGTAGTAGTAGTAGTAGTAGTAGTAGTAGTAGTAGTGGTGGTGGTCGTAGTAGTAATGGTAGTACTGAGAGTAGTAGTAATAGCAGCAACAGTCGTAGTAAAAGTAGTAGTGGTAGTAGTCGTAGACGTAAAAACAATAGTTTTGGTAGTAGTAGTAGTAGTAGTAGTAGTAGTAGTAGTTAGTAATTAGTAGTAGTAGTAGTAGCAGTAGTAGCAGTAGTAGTAGTAGTAGTAGTAGTAGTAGTAGTAGTGCTAGAAGTAATACTAGTAATAGTAGTGGCCGTACGGGTGATAATAGGCCGTAGTATCCGTAGTCGCCGTCGTCGTCGTCGTAGTGGTAGTAGCGGTAGTAGTAGGAATGGGGGTAGTAGTAGAAGTAGTCGTAGAAGCAGTAGTAGTAGTAGTAGTAATAATAAAAGTCGCAGTAATAGTAGTAGTAGTCGTAGTCGTAGTAGTAATAGTAGTAGTGGTAGTGGAAACAGTAGTAGCAATAGTAGTGGTAGTCGTAGTCGTAAAAGCAGTAAGAGTAGCAGTACTAGTAGCAGCAGTAGTCGTAGTCGTAGTAGTGGTAGTAGTAGTACGGGTAGTAGTCGTAGTAGTAGTAATAATAATAATGGTAGTAGCAGTGGTCGTAGTAGCAGTAGTAGTAGTAGTAGTAGTAGTGGTAGTAGTAGTAGTAGTAGTAGTTGTTGTAGTCGTAATGAGTAGTCGCCGTAGCCAAGTCGCAGCAGTAGAATAAGCAGTAGCAATAGTAATATAAGCAGTAGTAGTAGTAGTAGTAGCACAAATCGTAGTCGTACTAGTACTTCTTGAAGTAATAACAGTGGAAGGTGTAGTAGTAGTAGTAGTGGTAGTAGTAGTAATATAAGTAGTGGTACTCGTAATAGTAATGATCGCGATGGAAGTGGTAGCAGTAGTAGTGGTAGTCGTAGTAGTAGTAGTAGTAGTAGTAGTGCTGGTGATAGTAGTAGTAGTCGTAGTCGTAGTAGTAGTAGTAGTAGTAGTAGTAGTGATGTTGGTAGTCGTAGTAATATTGATAATAATTTTAGTAGTAGTAGTAGTAGTAGTAGTAGTAGCAATAGTAGTAGTCGTCGTAGTAGTTGCAGTAGTAATAGTAGTAGTGGAGGTACACTAGTGGTGTAGTATCAGACATACTAGCCGTAAGATTCTTAGTCGTCGCCGTAGCAGCAACAGGGGGCGTAGTAATAGTAGTTGTAGAAATCGTAGTGATAGTAGTGGTAGCAGTAGTAGTAGCAATAGTAGTGGTAATGGTAGTAGCGCTCGTAGTAGTAGTAGTAGTAGTAGTCATGGTAGTAGTAGTCGTAGTAGTCGTAGTAGTAGTAGTCATAGTAGTAGTAGTCGTAGTAGTAGTAGTAGTAGTAGTAATAGTAGCAGCAATAGTAATAGTAGTAGTAGTAGTAATAGTAGTAGTAGTAGTAGTAGTGATAGTAGTCGTAGTAGTAGTAGTAGTAGCACGAGTCGCAGTAGTAGTACTATTACTACTAATACTGCTAGTAGCAGTAGCAATAAGGATAGTAGTAGCACAAGTAGTAGTAGTAGTAGTCGTAGTAGTAGTAGTAGTAATAGTAGTAGTAGTAGTAGTAGTAGTAGTAGTGGTAATAGCAGTAGTAGTAGTAGGGGTAGTTGTAGTACGAGTAGCAGCAGTCGTTGTAAACGTCGTAGTAAAAGTCGTAGTACTGGTCGTAGTCGTAGTTCTGTCAGCTGCAGTAGTAGCAGTCGTAGCAGCAACATAAACAAAACATAGAAACGGTACTAATAGTAATGCGTCGTAGTCGTAGTCGCAGTCGTAGTAGTAGTAATAGTAGTAGTAGTAGTAGTAGTAGTAGTAGTAGTGGTGGTAGTAGTAGTAGTAGTAGTGGTGGTGGCGGTGGTGGTGGTGGTGGTAGTGGTAGTGGTAGTGGTAGTAGTAGTAGTAGTAGTAGTAGTAGTAGTAGTAATGGTAGTGGTAGTGGTCGTAGAAGTGGAAATAGTAGTAGTAGTCGTAGTAGTAGTAGTAGTCGTCGTCGTAGTAGTAGTAGCAGCAGTAGTAGCAGTAGTAGTAGTAGTAGTAGTAATCGTATTAGTAGTAGTAGTAGTAGTAGTAGTGGTGGTGGTAATAGTAGCAGTAGTAATAGTAGCAGGTGGTAGTAGCAGTCGTAATAGTAGTAGTAGTAGCAGTAGTAGTAGCAGTGCTAGTCGCAGTCGTAGTAGTCGTAGTAGTAGTAAGGGTAGTAGTCGTAGTAGTAGTAAAAATAGTGGCAGTAGTAGTGGTAGTAGTAGTAGTAATAATAGTAGTAGTAGTAGTAGTCGTCGTAGTAGTAGTGATAGTAGTCGTAGTAGTAGTAGTAGCACGAGTCGCAGTAATAGTACTACTTCTACTACTGCTAGTAGCAGTAGCAATAAGGATAGTAGTAGCACAAGTAGTAGTAGTAGTCGTCGTCGTAGTAGTAGTAGTAGTAGTAATAGCAGTAGTAGTAGTAGTAGTAGTAGTAGTAGGGGTAGTTGTAGTACGAGTAGCAACAGTCGTAGTAAAAGTCGTAGTACTGGTCGTAGTCGTAGTTCTGTCAGCTGCAGTAGTAGCAGTCGTAGCAGCAACATAAACAAAACATAAAAACGGTACTAATAGTAATGCGTCGTAGTCGTAGTCGCAGTCAAAGTAGTAGTAATAGTAGTAGTAGTGGTGGTGGTGGTGGTGGTGGCGGTGGTGGTGGTGGTGGTAGTGGTAGTGGTAGTGGTAGTAGTAGTAGTAGTAGTAGTAGTAATAGTAATGGTAGTGGTCGTAGAAGTAGAAGTAGTAGTAGTCGTAGTAGTAGTAGTGGTCGTCGTCGTAGTAGTAGTAGCAGCAGTAGTAGCAGTAGTAGTAGTAGTAGTAGTAGTAGTAGTAGTAGTAGTGGTGGTGGTAACAATAGCAGTAGTAATAGTAGCAGGTGGTAGTAGCAGTCGTAATAGCAGTAGTAGTAGCAGTAGTAGTAGCAGTGCTAGTCGTAGTCGTAGTAGTCGTAGTAGTAGTAAGGGTAGGAGTCGTAGTAGTAGTAATAATAGTGGCAGTAGTAGTGGTAGTAGTAGTAGTAGTAGTAGTAGTAGTAGTAGTAGTAGTAGTAGTAGTAGTAGTAGTCGTAGTAGTAGTTGTAGTCGTAATTAGTCGCCGCCGTAGCCAATTCGCAGCAGTAGAAGAAGCAATAGCAATAGCAATAGTAGCAGTAGTAGTGGTAGTAGTAGTAGTAATAGTTTTAGTAGAAGCAGTGCAAGTTGTAGTAGTAGTAGTAGTAGTAGTGGTAGTAGTAGTAGTAGTAGTAGTAGTGGTTGTAGTAGTAGTAGTAGATGTAATGGTAGTCGTAATAATAATCTTCGTGATGGTAGTAGTAGTAGTAGTAGTAGTAGTAGTAGTAGTAGTAGTAATAGAGTTAGTAGTAGTACTGGTGGTGGTAGCAGTAGTGATA